TTTTTTGTTTTTTTTTTTTTTTTTTTAGTACCAGGGATTGAATTTAAGTTTTTGTGCCTGTGAAGCAGGCAGCGGAACCACTGAGCTAAATCCCCGGACCATTAAAATGAGATTTGTTGAACACATACCTTGGAAGATTTATGTACAATCTTCCTGATTGTGTCCATGGAAATTACCTTTTAGAAGTTTGATTAGTCCCTATTTGAGGAGTTACATGTCAAATTTCACCATTAGGATTTTGTGGGTATAAAAGAAATGTGATCCTAAAATCAGAATATAAATGACTAGAGTTAAACATTTAGAATATTAACTGTACAATATGTGTGAGTTTGTTTCTTTCACTTTGTCCCTAGGATTGGGAAATGCAATAAGCTCGATGAATTAAAGTAGTTTTTGTTTCAGTTGCCAACTTTGGAGTTAAATCCAGCGGTCTTGAACTTACTCCATTTGTAACATTTCCCTTTAATTCATACATGTGTTGGCTAAAAAACCCTTAAACTTATAGGATCCACCATACTTTCTTTTCTATGATTTACATGAATCAACAGTGTAACAAATTTGTGTACGTTTAGTTAACATTCAAAGTTAATGAGATTCTAAACTAGAAGAGACTGCTCCACACCTTAAGTACCTTTGTCAGTTTCTAAGGGACCTTAGAAGTAATTTCTTTTTGGTGAATGGCTTGAAAGATGGTGCAGCTGCCATATCCTTGGGGAATGAGGTCTGGGAATTGTACAGCACTTCTGCCCCACTGTCCAGCTGTACACTGTGCCCAGAGCCACTGTGGGTCCGAGTTCTGCACCCTCCCAGATCCCTGCCTCAAATCCCCTGGAGGAATGAAAGGTTTGGCTGCTTCTGCTACATCTGCCTCTCAGAGAAATGTTTACCCAGTTTTTGAAATGCCTGAGAACTGACTGCACAAAAATAGAGTATATGACTGTGTAGGGTACCGAATGGGCTCTAATGGTTTGTGGCAATCATTCCACAGTATACACATGTATCAAAACATCACCTTTATGTGATAAATGTATTCAGTTCTTATTTGTTCTTAATACATCTATAAAGCTAGAGAAAATCAAAATGGGCCCATATGATTGGGTTTTGGGAGACCAGACATTACTTCCACCTGCCTCTAGAACCTCACTATTGATTTTAAAACCTTAAACGCTGACAACAACAACAACACAAAAAGCAATTGCTGAATGGTCCAAATTGCCTCAAGTAATTTTGCGATAGCATCTCTTTTTGTAGTCCTATTTTTTTCCCCATGAGTGACTTGGGCTTACCCATTTGTACAAACGAGAATTTTTTGCAGTTCTTTTCTCAGTTCTTTATTCCTTATACTCAGGGTGGCTTAACACTTGTGATCAAAGAATGAATGAATGTCAGGCCAGCAGTCTCAGATCAGGGCATCTCCTTGACTTTAGACATTTATTCCACACATTTTCTGAGTACCTTTTATGTATGGGGAGATGTTACCGCTACTGTGAGTAGCAGTGAATTTAATAAACACAAATCTCTCACAGAACTTGCATTGTATTCAGGGAGGTAGATAACAGCACATGATATGTTTTCTTGTTTGTCAGTTGGAGACAGGACTGCAGAGGTAAACAAAACAGAGCAGATTCATAAGCTTGAGGGTGTTCTTGGGGTGCAATTTAAAATGGAATTAAAGGCTGGCATTAAGTGAAGGTGGAAGGAGGTAAAGGACTTACTGCTGTACATGTTTAGGGGAGAATCATTTGATCAGGGGGAACTGTTTGTACAAAGCACCTTGGGCTGGGTTGCATTAGCTTT